AACAGAATAGAGAACCCAGAAATGGACCCTCAACTCTATGGTCGACTAATCTTCGACAAAGCAGGAAAGAATGTCCAATGGACAAAAGACAGCCTCTTCAACAAATGGTGTTGGGAAAATTGGACAGTCACATACAGAAGAATGAAAGTGGACCATTTCCTACACCACACACAAAAATAGACTCAAAATGGATGAAAGACCTAAATGTGAGACAGGAGTCCATCAAAATCCTTGAGGAGAACACAAGCAGCAACCTCTTCAACCTCAGCCACAGCAACTCTTCCTAGACACATCGCCAAAGGCAAGGGAAGCAAGGGCTAAAATGAACTCGTGGGACTTCATCAAGATAAAAAGCTTTTGCACAGCAAAGGAAACAGTTGACAAAACCGAAAGACAACTGACAGAAAGGGAGAAGATATTTGCAAATGACATATCAGATAAAGGGCTAGTATCCAAAATCTATAAAGAACTTCTTAAACACAACCCCCAAAGAACAAATGATCCAATCAAGAAATGGGCAGAAGACATGAACAGACAGTTCTGCAAAGAAGACATCCAAATGACCAACAGACACATGAAAAAGTGTCCAACATCACTCAGCATCAGGGAAATCCAAGTCAAAATCTCAATGAGATACCACCTCACACCAGTGAAAATGGCTAAAATTAACAAGTCAGGAAACGACAGATGTTGGCAGGGATGTGGAGAAAGGGGAACCCTCCTACACTGTTGGTGGGAATGCAAGCTGGTGCAACCACTCTGGAAAACAGTATGGAGGTTCCTCAAAAAGTCAAAAATAGAGCTACCCTATGACCCAGCAATTGTACTGGATATTTACTCCAAGGATACAAATGCAGTCATCCGAAGGGGTATGTGCACCCCAATGTTTATAGCAGCAATGTCCACAACAGCCAAACTATGGAAAGAGCCTAGACGTCCAATAACAGATGAATGGGTGAAGAAAATTTGGTGTATACACACACACACACACACACACACACACACACACTGGAATATGACGCAGCCATCAAAAAACCCAAAATCTTGCCATTTGCAATGATGTGGATGGAACTAGAGGGTATTATGTTAAGCGAAATAAGTCAATCAGAGAAAGACAAGTATCATATGATCTCACTGATATGAGGAATTTGAAAAACAAGGCAGAGGATCATAGGGGAAAGGAGGAAAAAATGAAACAAGATGAAACCAGAGAGGGAGAAAAACCATAAGAGACTCTTAATCTCAGGAAACAAACTGAGGGTTGCTGGAGTCATGGGGGGTGGGAGGGAAGGGGTGGCTGGGTGATGGACACTGGGGAGGGTATGTGCTATGGTGAGTGCCGTGAATTGTGTAAGACTGATGAATCACAGACCTGCACCTCTGAAACCAATAATACATTATATATTTAAAAAAGAATATAGTAGGAAGGGAAATGTGAAGGGGGGGTAATTGGAGGGGGAGATGAACCATGAGAGACTATGGACTCTGAGAAACAAATTGAGGGTTTTAGAAGGGAGGGGGCTGGGGGGATGTGTTAGCCTGGTGATGGGTATTAAGGAGGGCACATAGTACATGGAGCACTGGGTGTTACATGCAAACAATGGATCATGGAACACTACATCAAAAACTAATGATGTATGGTGAGTAATATAACATAATAAAATAAAAAACTAAAGAAGTTCTTTAAAGGAAAGGTCAAAGTGAGAGTATGAAAAGTAGGAAACATAAAAGTTCAAAGTCATACCATGCATCTTTTCTGACTACAATGCTATGAAACTAGAAAACAACCACAAGAAAAAATTGGAAAAACCACAAATAGATAGAGGTTAGATAACATGCTACTACACCATGAATGGGTCAACCAAGAAAAATCAAAGAAATCAAAAAGTACATGGAAACAAAATGAAAATGCAATGGTCCAAACTTTTGGGATGCAGCAAAAGCAGTTCTAAGAGGAAAGTTTAGAGCAATACAGACTTATCTCAAGAAGGTAGAAAAATCGCAAAGGAACAAACTAACCTTACACTGAAAGAAGCTAGGAAAAGAACAACAAAAACCCAAAACCAGCAGAAGGAAGGAAATAATAAAGATTGGAGCAGAAATAAATGATGTAGAGACTTAATAGAACAGATCAATGAAACCAGGAGCTGGTTCAACAAAATTGATAAACCTCTAGCCAGACTCATCAAAGAGAGAGAGAGAGAGAGAGAGGACTCAAACAGAATCACAAATGAAAGAGAAATAATAACCAACATCACAACAATGCAATTGTAAGAGAATATTATAAAAAACTATATAACAACAAATTTGACAACCTAGAAGAAAGGGATAAATTCCTAGAAACATGTAGACTACCAAAAATGAAACAGAAAGAAACAGAAAATTTGAAAAGACCAATTACCAGCAATAAAATTAAATCAGTAGCCAAAAAACTCACAACAAACAAAAGTCCAAGACTACAAGTCTTCACAGGTGAGTTCTACGAAACATTTAAGAAAGAATTAATACTTATTCTTTTTAAAGTAATCCAAAAAATAGAAGAGAAAGGAAAACTTCCATATTCATTCTAGGAGGTCAGTTATCTCCCTGACACCAAAACCAGATAAAGACACCATACAAAAAGGAAACCACAGGCCAACATCTCTGATGAACATAGATGCAAAAATCTTCAGCAAAATACTAGTAAATCAAATCCAACAATACATTAAAAAAAAAAAACCCATTAACCATGATCAAGTGAGATTTATTCCTAGGATGCAAGGGTGGTTCAGTATTTTGAAATCAATCAAAGGATACATCACTTCAATAACAGAAAGGATAAAAACCATGTGATCATTTTAATAGATGCAGAAAAAATCATTTGGCAAAGTACAACATTCATTCACAATAAAAGCCCTCAACAAAGCAGGTTTTGAGAGAACATAGCTCAACATAATAAAGGCCATATATGAAAAACCCACAGCAAACAACGTCGTACTTAATAGGTAAAAACTGAAAGCTTTTCCCCTAGGGACAGGAATAAGACAATGATGTCCAATCACCACTTTTATTCAACATAGTACTAGAAGTCCTAGCCACAGCAATCAGACAACAAAAAGACATAAAAGGCATCCAGATTGGTAAGGAAGAAGTAAAACTTTCACTATTTGGGCATGGCATGATACTATATATAGAAAACCCTAAAGATTATACCAAAAAACTACTAAAGATGATAAATGAATTCAGTAAGGTTGAAGGATATAAAATCAATGTACAGAAATCCGCTGCATTCCTATATACTAATAATGAAGGAGCAAAAAGTGAAATTAAGAAAATTCCATTTACAATTGCACCAAAAATAATAAAATATATAGGCATAAACTTAACCAAAGAGGTGAAAACTGTATTCTGAAAACTATAAAACAATGATTAAAAAAATTGAAGATGACACAAATGGAAAGACATTCCACGCTCATGGATTGGAAGAAAATTCTTAAAATGTCCATTCTATCCAAAACAATGCAATCCCTATCAAAATACCAATAGCATTTTCACAGAACTAGAACAATCCTAAAATTTGTATGGAGCCACAAAAGACCCCAAATAGCCAAAGAAACCTTGAAAAAGAAAAACAAAATTGGAGATATCACAATTCCAGACTTTAAGTTATATTATAAAGCTACAGTGATCAAAATAGTACGGAACTGGCATAAAAATAGACACATACATCAATGGAACAGAACGGAGAGCCCAGAAATAAATCTGCAATTATATGGTCAATTAATCTCCAAGAAAGGAGGAATGAGGGCACCTGGGTGGCTCAGTCGTTAAGCATCTGCCTTCGGCTCAGGACAGGATCCCAGGGTTCTGAGATTGAGTCCCACATCAGGCTCCCTGCTCAGTGGGGAGCCTGCTTCTCCCTCTGCCTCTTCCCTCTGCTCATGCTGTCTCTCTCAAATAAACAAAATCTTCAACAACAACAAAAAAAAAGCAAAGGAGGAATGAATAAAGAATGGGAAAAAGACAGTTTATTCAAGAAATGGTGTTGGGAAAACTGGACATCTACATGCAAAAGAATGAAAATGGATCACTTTTTTGTACCATATACAATAACAAATTAAAAATGGATTAAAGTCCTAAATGTGAGATCTGAAACCATAAAAATCCTAGAAGAGAACACAGGTGGTAATTTCTTTGACATAGGCTATAGCAGCATTTTTCTAGATAGGTCTCCTTAGGCAAAGGAAATAAAAGCAAAAATAAGGGCACCTGAGTGTCTCAGTTGGTTAGGCATCTGACTCTTGGTTTTTGCTTAGGTTGTGACCTTAGGGTCATGAGATCAATCCCTACTCTGGTGGTCTCCATGCTCAGTTTGGAATCTGTTTGAGATTCTTCCTCCCTCCTCCTCTGCTCCTACCCCTGCTTGTGCGTGCTCTCTCTCTCGCTTTCTCTCTCTCTTGCTCTCTAAAATAAATATACATACATACATACATACATACTTTTTTTAAAAAGGGAAAAATAAACTTGGGATCACATCAAAATAAAATGTTTCTGCACAGTGAAGGAAACAATTGATAAAACTAAAAGGCAGCCCACTGAATGGTAGAAGACATTTGCAAATGGCATATCCTATAAAGGGTTAGTATCCAAAATATATAAAGAACTGATATAACTCAACACCAAAAAAACTCCAATAATCCAATTAAAAATGGAAGCCGAAGACATGAACAAATATTTCTCCAAAGAAGACATACAAATGGCCAACAGACACATGAAAAGATATTCTACATCACTCATCATCCGGGAAACACGAATCAAAACTACAATGAGATACCACCTCACAACTGTCAGAATGGCTAAAATCAACAACACAAGAAATAAGCGTCAGTGAGGATGTAGAGAAAGAAGAACATGTTTTTACTGTTGGTGGGAATGCAAACCGGTACAGCCACTGTGAAAAACAGTAGAGGGTCCTCAAAAAATTAAAAATAGAACTACCACATGATCTAGTAATCGCACTAATGGGTATATACCCAAAGGATACAAAAATACTAATTCAAAGGGATATTTGCCCCCATATGTTTATTGTAGCATTATTTACAATAGCCATATTATGGAAATAGCTCAAGTGTTAACTGATAGATAAATGGATAAAGGAGATGTGGTATATACATACAGTGGAATGTTATTCAGCTGTAAAAAAGAATGAAATCTTGCCATTTGCAATGGTATAGATGGAGCTAGAGAGTATAATGCTAAGTGAAATAAGTCAGAGGAAGACCAAAACTACATGACTTCACTCCTATGTGGAATCTAATAAACAAAACAAACAAGCAAAGGAAAAAGAAAACAGATAGAGAAAAACCAAGAAACAGACTCTTGACTATAGAGAACAAACTGATGGTTACCTGAGCAGAGGTGGGTGGGAGGATGAGGGAAATAGGAGATGGGGATTAAGATGGGCACTTGTTGTGAGCACCGGGTGATATATGGCATTGTCTTATCACTATATTGTACACTTGAAACTAATATAACACTGTATGTTTTTCTTCAAATATGTATGTATGTATGTATGTATGTATGTATGTATTTGAGAGAGAGGGAGAGCGCTCAAGTGTGAGCCAGTGGGAGGGGCAGAGGGAGAGGATCTCAAGCAGACTCCACACTGAGTGCACAGCCTGACATGGGGCTCGATCCCATGACCCTAAGATCATGACCTGAGCCAAAATCAAGAGTCAGACACTTAACCAATGGAGCCACCCAGGCACCCCTATAAAACTGTATGTTAACTATACTGGAATTAAAATAAAATTTTAATACAAAAAGCAAGAAAGGGGTACCTGGGTGGCTCAGTCAGTTAAGCGTCCAACTCTTGATTTCAGCTCAGGTTATGATCTCAGGGTTGTGAGTTCAAGTCCCACATTGGGCTCTGTGCTGGGCAGGGAACCTGCTTAAGATTCTCTTTCACTCTCTGCCACTCCCCCATCCCCTTCTCTCTCCATTTAAGAAAAAAAAAAAAAAAGGCAAGAAAGAATCAGCAAACTCAAAGATAGGGCAGTGGAATTCATCCAATCAAGGAACAAAAAGAAAAAAAGAATGAGAAAGTATGAATATATAGCTTAAGGAAATTACAGGATAACAGCCCGCTGACCGATATTTGCACTGTAGGAATCCCAGAAGGAGAAAAGAAAGACAAAGGACCAGAAAACTTATTTGAGGAAATAATGGCTGAAAACTTCCCTAACGTGAGGTAGAAAACAGACACCCAGATCCAAAAATCCAGACAGTTCCAAATAAAATGGACCCAAGGAGACCCACAAGACACATAATAATTAGTGAAAAAAAAAGACAAGGAAAGAATCTTAAAACCAGTAAGAGAAAAACTACTTGCTAGGAAACTCTTTGCAGGACCATCAGCAGGTTTTTCACTTGAAACTTTGCAGGCCATTTGGGAGTGACAAAATATATTCAAAGCGCTGAACACTATTAGACAATGGTTGGAAATAAAGAAGACAAACCAAAAAAAATATTTACATGCTTGGGAAAATGGATTGAGGGTTGTGGGGGAAGCAGTAGATTGCATTTATCGAGACAGAAATTTCCTCAGAGAGATTACGATGTGTTTGTTTCTTGCTTGTCTTTGAACACTGCAGTATATACTAGGTATTCCAAGTGTTTGATTTGAATATTTGCTTGACTTGTGAAAGATACAGTTATAAAAATCTGTTGACCCAGTAATGACTGATCATTTTACAAGTTCTTTAAAACTTGTCAGCATTTATCGCCTTAGAAAGTTAATTTTCTTTCACCGAAATTATACAGCAATTTATTCTGTGTGTTGCACAGAATGGCCACATCCTGGGGTGCCTAAGTGGCTCAGTTGGTTGAGTACCCAACTCTTGATTTTGGCTCAGTTCAAGATCTCAGGATCATGGGATCGAGCCCCAGGTCGGGCTCCACGCTCAGCAGGGAGTTTGCTTGGATTTTCTCTCTCCCTCTTCCTTAGCCCCTCCCCCACCCCGTGTGCTCTCTAAAATAAATAAATCTTTAAAAAAAAAAAGCTGCTTCCTCAAAAACAAACAAAAATGGTATATTCACAAAACTCAGACATACTTTCAGGTTATATTCACTGTAACTGTGGACTTATGGTTCCTTACAGCCCTGAGGACCAGGCTTAGAGTAGAAAAAAAAAATTACAACTGATCTCAATCTCAAAAATTGCAGAAACAGTGTCTTCCACTAACAACATGCAGTTTCTGAGAACTCAGGCCAAACATCCAGCTATCCACCAGAAAATACACAGGGAATTACCGTTGAAATGACTAGTCAACGAGCTTGCCTTGTGGTTTTAGTTTCTGTAGTGAGGCTTTGAAGACCCTTGCTACTTTCAGTTTCTGATTTCACATCCTAATCATCTGTCTTCTGATGGCCGGGGGCGGGTAAGAAATCCCCAGGAATGGGGAAGAAGTAGATCAGAAACCAACACACCTAAACTGAGGGACAAAGAACTCTTAGCACATTCTCAGGGAAGCAGCTTTCTTACCAGCTCTGAAGGATCTCTGCTACTGAATTTACAGTTAAGGTAAGACTGGGGCAAGGGTGGAAAAGATTTGCAAGGGTCAGAATGTTTTCAAAACTTTCTATCCAGGATAGGGTGCAGTAGACCTGATGTGGACCATTAGACACAATTAAAGACTAAATTGTGATGTTCTAACACAGGGAGCAGAATTCACTAAGCTCCAGCTACATCTGTTTACTGCTGAATCAGACACAAGCATGAGTGGGGACTAAACTGACAATCTGAAATGTCTTAACACTGTTTTCCTCTCTTTGCCACCTTGAGATTTATAGAGATCATACCTGCCACTTAAGTTACCTTTGTTTTTGATAAAACCTGATTAAGTTATCTCAAACTGCAATCTGAAAGTTTGAAGAACTGCAACTGTATTATTTTTATGAGAAAGAGCAATGAATGTGATATAAGGTAAATAGCTTGCTTACACTGTTAAAAACGAAAAAAGAAAAAAATTGAAACTCAGAGTGAACAATGAAGAGGTTTAATGAAAACAGCTATATACTTTTAGTCATAGACTTGAACCTAGTAAGATGGATTTCTTCCTTTAGTAATAACCCTGGATTAGGGGCGCCTGGGTGGCTCAGTTGGTTAAAGCGACTGCCTTCGGCTCAGGTCATGATCCTGGAGTCCCAGGATCGAGTCCCGCATCGGCTTCCTGCTCAGCGGGGAGTCTGCTTCTCCCTCTGACCCTCTTCCCTCTCGTGCTTTCTATCTCTCATTCTCTCTCTCTCAAATAAATAAATAAAATCTTTAAAAAAAATAACCCTGGATTAATTAATTTTTATTTTCTGGCATGCACTCATTCCTTAGGGCTTCTTGTGCTGGATTCTGTTTCTCCTCTATTGTCTCTACTATTATGAATCATTTAATTTGAGTTGCCCAACTTGACTCATCAATACTGTCTGGCAATTTTGTTTGCTCCTTAGAGCTCATACTTGGGATTTCTTGCCATGACACATGCTTCATGCATTTTCTTCTTGTTTGATTTCCATTTATCTCCTTGCTAAAAGCCTTTCCTCCCCCTCCAAACTCAAACCAAAAACAATGCAAAACAAAGCAAAAGCAAACAATAATAACAAACAAAACCAACTAGAATTGTATGGCTGATAACAGAGATGATTTCCTCTAGACACCCCATCACTAGCACTTCTGAGCCTTTTCTCCTATATTTCTTGGCATTTTCCTTCTTTATACTTTGTTCCCCTTCTCCTTCAGCTCTCTTTTCTAAGCTAGAAGTTATACTGGTGTAAATAAATATTTATTTACCTCTATTTTTTTTTCACAAATAGGCTAAGAGTGTTGAGTAGAAATGCCAATGTCATACAAATAGCCACTTGTAGGGCTAGTATTGGAAATCAGGTCTGCCTTATTTCAAAGCCAAATGTGTATTTGTGTGTGTGTTGATCCATTCTTGCATTTTTTAAAAAATATTTTTATTTATTTATTTGGGAGAGAGCAAAAGCGAGAGAGATCACAGAGACAGAGGGAGAAGCAGATTAGCTGCCAAGCCAGAGTCTGATGTGCTGCTCAATCCCAGGATCATGGGATCATGACCCGAGCTGAAGGCAGATACTTAATGACTGAGCCACCCAGGTGCTCCTCTTGCATTGTTTTTATTTACAAACGTTTATGAGGCTCTAACAGAGTTAAGAAGAATGCATCTCAGAGCACACATCACAGGCCAGGCTCGGAAAGGCAGAGCAACCGTTAATTATATATGGGTGTGTTCATGTTGAATCTGCAAAGATGTTTTGGAGATTGGGCTCTCCTAAAAGCATTAAAGATGTCACCCAGATAACATTTGGGGGCAATGTGTAAAATACTTCTATTAATATAAATACACAGGGCTAATGTTATTCTTTAGGAGGCCTGAAAATTCAGACCCATTAGTTCCCTCTTCCATTAGTGACATCATCCTAAAGCGCAAAGGCTTGTAAGCCTCCAATATCTGCAAATAGATTTGGATTGTGTATCTTCTGTTTTTCTAGCTAACTGTAGATCATCACTGCCAGTTCGCCATATCTTTGTAATCTAAAAATGATTATGACCCCTGCTTTATATAAATCAGGCAACCAGAACTCTACAAATGTACAGTACCAATATTATACTAGAGATGCATTAGAATGGAAATAGACTTGGCATTTGAGTGTGTAAAATCATGGAATTCCTCCCTGGGTTCGGGTTGGCCTGGGCATTTCCTGGCTCCTATGTCCATAGTGCTGTGCCATTTGCAAAGGATCACCTATGATCTGCTCTTAAGCAGTTTGTTTTTATTTGTCACCTGAATAATCTCCAATGCATTAGCTATTAGGAAGAGGGGAGAATGAGTTTTTATAATTTTTAAAAAGCAGTTTCTACCACTGGCTAATAAGGGAATCCATAACTTTTCAATTAAGATTTCAGTGAAAGTCAAGCAGATATTGGATTTTTAGCTTCCATAGTAAATAATCACTTCTAAAAAGGAAGAAAATTGCTCTTATAATAAGGCAAGGCAAAAAACCAAACATTTTCTTAAAAATGCTTTATCAGCAACTCTTCAGGTTACAGGAATTGATGGCCAGAAGTCAATGGCCAAGTATTATTTACAAAGGTATTTTCACTCACTCTCTCATTCATAAAACAATCATGAATTGAAGTTTTGATTGAAGAAGGCACTACTACAGCTATACAAAAAATTCTTTAAAAGTACAGCTATAAGGGGCACCCGGGTGGCTCGGTCGATTAAGCATGACTCTTGGTTTCAACTCAGGTCATGACCTCAGAATCCTGAGATGGAACCCTTGTTGGGCTCTGTGCTGGGCATGGAGCCTGCTTGAGGTTCTCTCTCTCCCTCTCTTTCTGCCCCTCCCTGGCTTGTGTGCCCTCTCTCTAAGCTCAATAAATAAATAAATAAATAAATAAATGTTTTTTAAAAACAGCTATAAGAAGTAAACAATTATGATTTGTTAGATTATGCTACATAATGACCTGGCAGGATTTAGTATAATACAGTTTGACTAGACATAGCCATACATTAGAGGGAAACAAGTTGATAAAGGATAAAAGCAAGAAGTATAATATAACAAATGGCGGTCATAAAGATTCAATCTAAGGATTCAGGAAGGTAAAAACTAGGGAACACAAGCAAGCCAAAAACCAAAAGGGAAGAGTCAGATTCAAACTAAAAATAGGTAAAACTCAGGAAATGGATTTCCTTATGCCCACCAAATACTTAAGAACCAATGGTTCTTAAGTATAATAGTCCTGAGAAGGGCCTAGAACTTATTTTACTATGACCCCCTTTGCTGTCTTTTTTTCAAAAATTTCTTTAGAAACATTGGCCATTTTGGGAAGTAGTTTGTCCCCAAGTTCAGGAAGCAAAATGACTTTCTTTTCTGTAAAACTGGAAATTTTGAACTATCTCATCCCTTCCCTTGCAGACCAGGGAACACTCTGATCATGGCCTCAGAGATCCACATGCCGGCCCCAGTGTGCCTCATTGAGAACATCAGAGGGCACCTGGTGGCTAATCAGGAAGCTTTGGAGATCCTGGCAGCCAATAAGAATCCTCTTGTTGTGGTGGCTATTGTAGGCCTCTACCGCACAGGCAAATCCTACCTGATGAACAAGCTGGCTGGAAAGAACAAGGGTGAGTGGCACCACCAAAACTCTGCTAAGTCCCTTCTGTCCACCCACACTGCCAGCACTGAGTGCAGTGATGCAAGGAGAGAAAGTTAGAGACAGGGAACAATGCCAAAAGCTAATGTTTGGGCCACAGGTGGCTAATTATCTTCTGGGAAGCAAAGGCAGAGGTCTGTTCCTGACATATCACCTCTTTTTCTTCTCTTAGTTTCTCCCTAGGAAAAGCATATTTTCCCATCTTAAGGAGGAAGACATCAATAAAATAATTTCTATACATGTAATTATAAACTACTAAAATGTGTGACATTCCTGTAAAAAGGAAAAACATCAAATTTACAACCTATGGTATTTGATACTCTCATTTTCCCATTCCTCTGTTGTAATTCAGATCAATACTGGCTATACTTTTTGATGTGTCCTCACTGTGCATTCCTTAAACCCTAGCTCAGTTGTCAAGAAGATCTCCAACTTCCAGATCTCCTCCTCTCTTACTACCTCTCCCTTCCCCCTTGCAGGCTTCTCTATTGGAACCACGGTGCAGTCTCACACCAAGGGTATCTGGATGTGGTGTGTGCCTCATGCCAAGAAGCCGAACCACACCCTAGTTCTTCTTGACACAGAGGGTCTAGGAGATGTAGAAAAGGTAATTTTGATTACCTTTTGATTCCTCCTCACCTCTGAACATTCTTTACACAGGGAGGTTTGTTCTTGTGTTTGTTTTTCTGAATTTGTACTTCTGTTTGACAGAGTATACCTTTTTTCCCTTTCTATTTTTAATAATCAAAATTTGGAAATCTGAGATGAGAAAAATACATTTATAAGCCAGAATCATGACTGCGACAAGACACTAATATAGAGCTAGGCAGTTAACTGAAATGCAGAAAAGATGGTACAAATAAAACCACTCTCACGAGTCTGATCCTGCAGAGAAGAGTGATTAGTAGTGAGCTCTGGGTCAGAGGATCTTGGGTTCAAATAAGGGCTCTGGCACTTGTAGCTTTCTGACTTTGACAAGCAAATCTCCCCAGATCTTTTATTTTCCTTTTGATCTTATCCAACTTAGCATTTGAACAGTAAATACGTGGGCTTTTTCCACTTCTATACTGGTATTTAACAACCAGCCCAGTGTGTGGGGGTTAGGAGGAAGACTTGATTTGTAGCACTTGCCAATTTTCTAAATATTTCCATCAAAGCGAATTCCAAGCTTCCAAAGTGAAGTCACTAAACTCATGGTTCAGAACAATGAGTGTACAATCAGCTCTTGTGAGCTGGTATGAGCTGGCTCTAGCACCCAACAGAATCTTTCCCTTGCACTTCCCTTGTTTTCCATGTTTTCATTTTGCTTTTGATTTGCCACAAAATCAAAATGGCTACCTCATTTTGTGCTTTAGTTTCCACATCTGTAACATGAAAACCATAGTTATAAACATATCTCCTAGTATTGCTTTGAGTATTAGACAAGACCAGTAATGTGAACTGTCTTGTGTATAATAACTTGTCAATAAAATAGATATACATATTATGTGTACAGGCCAGATTTGTTTTACACAATTGAAGATCTTGATTTTTTTCATTTTAAAATTCCAATAAAATTCACGTACAGTGTTACATTAGTTTCAGTTGTATTATATAGCAATTCAACAATTCTACACATTACTCAGTGCTCATCAGTATAAGTGTACTTTAATCCTTTACCTATTTCATCCATCTACTCCCTCCTACCTCCCCTGTGGTAATAATCAGTTTGGTCTCTACAGTTAAGAGTCTATTTTTTATTTTCATTTGTCTCTTTTTTTGTTTTGTTTCTTAAATTCCACATACGAGTAAAACCAAAGGGTATTTGTCTTTATCTGACTTATTACACTTAGTATTATACCCTCTAGGTCCATGTTATTGCAAATGGCAAGAATTCATTTTTTATGGATGAGTAATATTCCATTGTGTGTATGTATGTATGTGTGTTGTGTGTGTCTCTCTCTCTATATATAGAGAGAGAGACACACACACCACATCTTTATCCATTTTTCAGTCAATGGACACTTGCACTGCTTCCATATTTTGACTATTGTAAATAATGTCACAATAAACCTAGGGGTTCATGTATCTTTTTGAATTAGTGTTTTTGCATTCTTTGGGTAAATTTCCAGTAGTGGAATCACTGGATCCATATGATCCATATGGTAGTTCTATTTTTAATTTTTGGAGGAAACTCCACCCTGTTTTCCACAGTGGCTGCAGCAGTTTGCATTTCCACCAATAGTGCATAAGGGTTCCTTTTTCTCCACATCCTCACCAATACTTGTTGTTTTTGATAAAAATCTTGATTTTAAGTACTCTGGTTACCCCACTAACTTTGACTATCCATTGCAAATACCTAACTAGTTCTAAGGAAAACTGCTGAAGGGGGAAGAGTTAAGATGGTGGAGAAGTAGGGGAATCCTGAGCTTGTCTCATCCCTCAAACATGGCTAGATAGTTATCAAATTAGTCTGAACAGCCAAGAAGTCAATCAGAAGTCTGAGAGAAAAAAACTGCAAGTCTACAAGTAGAAAAACAACCACCTTTGGAAAGCCTTCAGGGAGCAAAACAGTCCACCTACTGGAGGCCAGAGCTGTTTACACCAAGCCCCACCCCCATGCTCCTGGAGAAGCATTTCCACGGACATAAGTCAGCCTGAGAATCAGCCCAGCAGGCCCCTCCCCCAGAAGACCAGCACAAACAACTACTTTGCACCAAATTTATTGATCATAGAGTGCTACAAAGCTTCAGCTCTAGGGGAAATAGGATTGAGCTTCCTTTTTACTTTTATTTCTTTTAAATTTATTTTTCATTTATTTTCTTATAGTTCCAAATCTTTTATTAATCTTTTATTAACTTTTTTTTAAAGATTTTATTTATTTATTTGAGAGAGAGAGAGAATGAGAGATAGAAAGCACGAGAGGGAAGAGGGTCAGAGGGAGAAGCAGACTCCCTGCTGAGCAGGAAGCCCGATGTGGGACTCGATCCCGAGACTCCAGGATCATGACCTGAGCCGAAGGCAGTCACTTAACCAACTGAGCTACCCAGGCGCCCTATTATTAACTTTTTAAATTTTTATATGCTTTTCATATATTTTTTTTATTTTTTTCTACTTTCATTTTATCTTATTTTTTTATTTTAGGATCTAGATTCTCTTAACAAGTAGACCAAAACACACCCAGGATCTAGTGGGGTTTTTTGTTTTCTTGTTTTGTGTTTTTGTTTTCCTTCCTTCATTTTTTACTTTATCTATTTGTTTCAGTTTTTTGTGTTGTTGTTTTTTTCTCTTTCTTCTTTTCTTTTCTGGGAAAAATGATGAGATGGAGGAATTCACCCCAAAAGAAAGAACATAAGGTAGAATTCACAACCAGGGATTTCATCAATACAGACATAAGATGTCTGAACTAGAATTGAAAACAATAATTATAAGAATACTAGCTGGGCTTGAAAAAAGCATAGAAGACACTAGAGAATCCCTTACTACAGAGATAAAAGAACTAAAATCTTGTCAGGCCAAAATTAAAAATGCTATAACTGAGATGTAAACATAAATGGGTGCCATAAAAACAAGGATGGATGAAGCAGAGAAACAAATCAGTGATATAGAAGATAAAATTATGGAAAATGAAGCCAAAAGGAAGAGGGAAAGAAAGGTAATGGACCATGAAGGTAGAAAAAGGGAACTCAGCACCCTAGTAAAATGTAATAACATTCATATCATAGGAGTCCCATAAGATAAAGAGAGAGATAAAGGGGCAAAAGGTGTATTCCAACAAATTATAGCTGAAAACTTCCCTAATCTGGGGAAGGACACAGACATCAAAATCCAGGAAGCACAGAGAACTCCCATTAAATTCAACAAAAGCCCACCATCAGAAAGGCATATCATAGTCAAATCCACAAAATAGACAGACAAGGAAAGAATCCTGGAAGCAGCAAGGGAAAAATTAACCTACAAGGGAAGACAGATCAAGTCTGTAGCAGATCCGTTCGCAAAAACTTGGCAGGCCAGAAAGGAGTGGAAGGAATTATTCAGTGGTCGAATGCGAAAAATATACAGACAAGAATTCTTTACCCAGCAAGGCTGTTATTCAGAAAGGAAGGAGAAAGAGTTTTCCAGACAAACAAAAACTAAAGGAGTTTGTGACCACTAAACCAGTTCTGTAAGAAATTTTAAGGGGAACTCTTTGAGGGGAGAAAAAAAGAACAAAAGCAACAAAGACTAGAGAACCAGAGAACATTACCAGAACATTACCAGAAACACCAACTCCACAGGTAACACAAGGGCACTAAATTCATATTGCTCAATAATCACTCTGAACGTAAATGGACTAAATGCTCCAATCAAAAGACACAGGGTGTCAGAATGGATAAAAAAGCAAGATCCATCTAAATGCTGCCTACAAGAGACTCATTTTAGACCTAAAGACACCCACAGATTGAAAGTCAGGAGATGGAGAACCATCTATGATGCTCACAGATGTCAAAAGAAAGCCAAAGTAGCCATACCTATAGCAGACAAACTAGATTTTAAAACAAAGACTAAAACAAAAGATGAAGAAGGGCATTTTATCATAATTAAGGGGTCAATCATCAAGAAGATCTAACGATTGTAAATATTTATGCCCCCAACTTGGGAGCACCCATATATATATAAATCAATTAATAACAAACATAAAGAAACTCATTGATGATAAAACAATAATAGTAGGGGACTTTAACATCCCAATTACAGCAATGGACAGATCGTCTAAGCAGAAAATCAACAAGGAAACAATGGTTTTGAAGGACACACTGGACCAAATGGACTTAACAGATATTGTCAGAACATTTCATCCTAAAACAGCAGAGTACACATTCTTCTCACGTGCACATGGAACATTCTCCAGAATAGGTCACACATTGGGTCACAAATCAGCCCTCAACAAGTACAAAAAGATTGAGATCATACCATGTATATTTTCAGACCACAACGCTATGAAATTGGAAGTCAACCACAAGAAAAAAATTGAAAAGACCTCAAAAACATGCAGGTTAAAAAACATCCTATGAAAGAATGAATGGGTTAATCAGGAAATTAAAGAAGAAATTTAAAAAATACATGGAAGCAAATGAAATTGAAAGCACAACAGCCCAAAACCTCTGGGATGCAGGAAAGGCAGTCTTAAGAGGAAAAGTTTATTACAGTACAGGTCTACCTCAAGAAGCAAGAAAAGTCT